ACTTTAAGGCCGATTTTCGTGTCTCTAACTTCAAAACGTAGGACTTTTATACAAACTTCCAACTCCCATTTCACTCCCTTAGGGATAGATTTTCTCAAAACCGTTTCTTAACTGATCTCTATGCCATAATTATAGTGTTAAAATATGTATTTATAATTCACTCATATTTTCATTTGTTTTTATAATCGGCGAGACACATGATTTACTGTTTTATTTCAGTCTGAAAATAGCAGTGACAACATCACGACAGCTACAGTTGATTGGATGGTTAAAAAATATCTTCCCTTCTCATTTTTCGATGACGAAGCTACACAAGTATATTTTCATTCAATTTGCCCAAATATGGTGTTTCCTAAAAGGTCCACACTTAGAAGGAAGGTCAAAGAACGGTTTGAAGAACTTCAATTGAATCTTAAGAAACGACTACAACAATTTTCATCTAAAATGTCATTTACCATTGATGGATGAACGTCAATTGCTGGTAGGAGTTACTACGGGGTCACTATTCATTATACAGACAACGAATGGAAGTATCGATCTGTAGTCCTTGATTTTATACCATCACGCGGTCGACATACTGGGGAAGATATTGCAACGATTTTCCACGAATGTTTATTGGAATATGACATAATTGATAAAATACAGGGTATCACGGTCGACAACGCAACTGCAAATATCAAATTTATGTATGAATTGGACAAACAGCTACCACACTTTGATTCATACAATCAACATTTCCGGTGCTTTGCTCACATTTTGAACCTTGGTGTATACATTGCACAGTGAAAGTGACAATAAGGGACAAGAACAGCAGTATGAAGATAATGAAGACGAAACTGAGGAAGATGAAGAATATGCGCCAAATATTGCTGACTCACGTACAGCTATAACAAAATTACGCAGTATTTCCAGTAAAATAAAAAGAAGTGAGATATTGAAGAGGAAGTTTCAGTCTGCTTGTGAAGCAGCTGGCGTACCATCAAATCTGAACCCCATACTCGACTGTCCAACGAGATAGAATTTCATACATGATATGATTGGATTTGGTTTAAAAATGAGAACTGGCATTAACATATTGTGCACTTCTGTCACCGAATTGAATGATTTTCAAATCACAGATAGTGAATGGCAAATACTCGAAAAAATACATGAGTTTCTAATAAACTTTAAACTTCTATCAACGAAACTTGGTGGAGAAAAATATGTTACATTACCGCTAGTCATTGTATCATTCAATCTCTTGCTCGATAAAATTGAATCCATGGTAAAACAATTAGATGAGAAACCTAATCGATCCGAAGTGGATGAAAGGCTCATTCTGGGTTTTCAAGCAGCTCGAGACAAAATGCTTAAACATTATAAAAAGAGCAACTGGATTTATTGTACCTCTTTCATTTTAGACCCAAGGCATAAGACTCAGAATTTTGACAAGACATTATGGGGGAAGCAAATTAAAACAGAAAGCCTGCGCAAATTTAATGAACTTTATAAAGAATATAAAAGTCTACACTCAGTGAATACATCTCTAGAATCACCGAGAAATGAAAAGAAAGTATGTGAATATGATGAAGATGAAGGCGTAATAGACTTTGAGAAATTGTATGCATGTCCCTCGACGTCATCTGGATCTGGATCTTTTCATCAAAGCTTAGTTATAGACGAGTTGGAGGAGTACCTAAGTAAACTCAGAGCCGCCAGTTCGGAAGACATTTTAGAGTGGCGGAGGACGCATGAGACAGAATATCCGACTTTATCGAAGATGGCCCGTTATTTTCTTTCAATACCTGCAACTTCAGTACCTGCTGAGAGATTATTTTCTAAGGCATCATTAGTAATTAGAAAACATGGGGTAGGGAAACATGAAATAGGTTAAGTGATGAGTCAGCCAGATGGTTACTTTGTATTAATTCTTGGTCAAAAGAATTAATATGAAGTAACAGTAATATCAAAGCTGTTGTGTACTGTTATGTAATTTAATTTGTATTGTATTTTATTTATTTATTTAAATTAATGGTAAATTTTATAACTCTTTTATTCCATTTCATATAAGGGTCTATCAATCTCTTTCTCAAATCAATTTTTATTTATATACTTTCGTGCCCCACTTCTATATACTAACTTGCATCATTCTCACACATTTCAAGTCGCACAGTTTAAGTATCATCAATATTTGGGTGATCAGTCCAATATTGACAAAACTTAGTAACTAAATCATTCGTATTTACACGTTCGAACATTCTTCCGTTCCTCATACCAATTACATGCTTTCTAATTTTTGTACAAATGAGATAACATTCTTATCAATAAATTTTCTTTGTCGGTGTTTAACTTTTTTTGAACCATTATTATTAAAACCTCTGTTAACTACTTTATTCCTGTTTACACTGTTATTTATTTATTATTTTCATCTCTGTAACAATACTATTATCATTTACTCATTTATGTTCCTATACTTATTATTTTTATCGCTATTACAATGTTGTTATGATTTATCCTACACCTGTTAATGTGTTGCATGTTGCTGTGTTCAGTTTAAATTTATCATCTATGTTACCATGTTTTTTTTATAGGATACGCTCATTGCATAACATTTTATAATATCATATTTTTAGAAACATCAGTACCATTCGTAAGAAATTGTTAGCAGACCTTTTATATTCACTGTGTAAAGATTGACTCTTGTTATATTTACCTACCTAACTAGTTTCTTGTCTTTCAAAAGAAATAAAAGTGTTATTTTAGCCAGAAAATATGAAAAATATAATTGATAATAAACGTTAAAATAATCGCATCGTATGATCGTGCCTAATGTCAACTTAACGTGTACAATTTGTTACTACATAAGTAGTAGTACTCATATAAATGAGTGCGAGTAAAAAAAATGTACCTTAAACTAATATTTTTAATTTCTTATTTATTCAGAAGTCCACATGGTTACATCGTTAAAAGCTATATCGCTTTTATACAGATCGAAAAATATTACTGAAAGTATGATATTTATTATGTCGTGTATACAGAATAATTGAAAATCACATTATAAGAGTTATCACCTTTACACAATGATACAACAATTTATTCAAACATTTAAAAGGAAGTTTTTTATATTTTACATAAGTTATTATATAAATTTAAGATTTAATACCTTTAAAAAAAATTAAAACTTATAATGATAGTGAAATGTTTCTAACCCTTTAAAATTTGGATTCGAAAAAAAAAATCAACGAAATGTATCACAGTGTTATTTTAAATCAAGTGCGTAAATTTGGAATCTATTATTTTATTATTTCATTAATTGTTTGGCAGGACACAGTAAAAAAATAATACAAAACTATAACTTCATAAATGAGAATATAAAGTCTGGTCTGGCGCCTTAATAGAAGTGCCACATAAGTGCTTAAAATTCAACTTAATTTTTAATACTGTATTATAATTGTTTTTTTTTATTTTTTTGTAGGTAATAAAATATTTGACAATAAAGTATGTGAATAATCTGATAACTAATTTCAACTTAATTATATGTAAAATACAGAATATTTAATATCTAACTTTAAAAACATAATAGCAAAAAACCAATCTTAAATTGTTAAATAAAGTTTGAAATAGAATTAAAATCACATAGGTGCGAAGTTACCTCATAATTTGTTCTTTTCGGCTCAATTTTTCTATCTTTTTATCGGTTAAGGCTTGCAGGAAGTTTCTTCTATTTTTCTTAAATTTGTGGTCTCACCATCTAATTCGTTTAATCTTCATGTAATATTTGAAGCTCTCGTAATATTTGTTTCTGAAGTTGATCTTTCTCGTTTTTTCCGTAACATTTTTCTTCTTTTTCTAATAGGTTTTATTAGCAAATCTCCTTAAAGAAATAATAACCTTGTCGCCTCTTCTTATGTCTCCGTTTCGTCTTACTTGTCACATCCGGTAGTGTCAATTCAATAGTTGAAAATTGTTCCTTTAGTTTTATATTTATTTTTCCATGTTTCTTTAACTTGCTCACATCCACACTGTTATGTTTTGGCTTCAGAACAGTCCCGATAAAATATTCTTGTCCCAAGTATTTTCTATCCTCACGCTTTTCCTTTATACGCACTACTCAAGAATGGTGCACCACCTATTGTCAAGAAAAATAAGAAACAAGATGGCCGCGTACGTATAAATCGTGTTCGTTACCGCTCGTTTAAAATTACTCAATAAATAAAGTTGTAAGACTATCGTTCAATTGCTCGTGTCCATATACATTCGAAGTGCAGTGTGGTGTCTGTGTATACACTAGAACTTCAGCATAAATATTTTAGACTTCACCATAACCACGACGAATGCTCCAGTCTTGTGAGTATCCTTGCTTAATTTACCCAGTTATAAAGCTGTTTTCGTTTAATTCCTGGTTGGGATCATCGGGTTAGCCAACCCTTGGTCTGGTTGTTCTCTGGTTGCCAAAAGCACCCACGAAGCATTTTGCGAAACATTCAAGCCGTAGCAGGTTATTTTGTTTATGACAACAGGTTGTAACCGTACTATTAATTTATTTATACCACTATGCTACCGTTAGTAGATATAATCGATTATTAACCAACATCGAGATATTTCGTGGCGTAAATATGTATCAGCATTGTAAGTTAAAAAAATGCCTACGTAAAACAAGTAAAACTAGTTAACGACTTGACGTATCGCAATTTTATGATTTTCTGCAAAAATTATTACTTATCATTAAACGTTGTTATCAACGGTGCGCTATGTGTCTGTAGTGAGATGAATTTTCAAACTTCTGGAAGCAGTTTTCTCAATTTGGTGAAATGGTCAAATAACTGGTTTTACTATTAAACCCTCAAAATACGTAAGAGGATATAATAAAAAATATTTTTATTCTGTTCTTATACCTTTTAATGAAAAAAAAATATAATTACAAGAATTTTTCTTATTATCTGAAATTAAATAAGCACGTCACCTTATTTTTTAATTAAAGAAAATCGTATTCGTAACATTGTGATATGAGATAATTGAAATTAATTTTTACCATTTTGTGAATAGTTTATTATTTGAGTTTTATTATATATCAAATCAAGAGCTTTAAGGAAGACCTCAGGATTAGGTACAGCGCCTGGTGGTAAATCATTAATTTGTTTCAAAATCTTCTCATACCGGGTTTTTTCCAATTGACGGTAAACTTGCGGTAAACCAAGCTCTTTATATAAGTTTCGTACTCGCTCCACATAAACTGGATCTTGATTACCATAGCAAAGATCAAATTCCTTTCGTTGAGCAGAGTTACATCGTTTCAGTGCCTCAACTGCTAACCAGGTCAGTTGTCCAGTTTGAATATCGGTACCCGTTTTACCCATCGAATTTTCATCAACGAAGCAATCCATGAAGTCGTTCTAAAACATAAACTTATTTAAGTAAAGTTATTTTCTAGTTTAGGACATGCGATGAGGCATAAAAATACCATAGCTGGATTTTGGAATTTACGTCTAGTAGTTATCATATGAGGAAGGCTTGGGAGCTTCCATCCTACCATATTGTCCCGTGAGTGTCGTTATAAGAGACTATTGTAAATGTCAGAAAGATCAAATTACACGATAAATAATGGTAATATACCAACACCATCGTATTTGATCGATGTTAATACTTCTGCAGACGGCGGGAACAAAGCGTAATGGTTGCAATCAGCACAATTTTTGAACATTTATGTTTTCGTATAGTTACCAACCACCAGGTTCAAATGAAAATATGATCAAATATAAAATATCTAGGGACCCATTTATATAATTACAGTCACATTAATCGTTACCTGCATTTGTAAGTTGATACCAATTTCGTCGCAAATATTATCGATGTATTGATACGAATCCTTCGTTCCTTTTTGAGAATGTATCATTGCTAGTAATATCGGTAATCGAAACGTATAATGAGAAGTTTTATAAATAGACATTTTTCTATAATTTTCGTCATTAAAATCACCGGGGTTTTTCAAATATTTTAACATGCAGTCCAAATGTTGACCCATAGATGTATTGAAAATTGTCTGTAAAATTAATGACAAATTTATTACGTAACAGATTAAGTTATACCACAAACAGATAAAAAAAAACATTTAAATACCTCATTAAATAAATTTATAATTTGTGTATAGTTGGGCTTGTCACCGAAATTTTGCCGCAACACTTCGTGAATAAAGCTTCGAAACAAACTGACATCGTTTATAACTAATAAACCAACGTCAGGTAACAAATGCCAACATTTCTTTCCGCGTCGTGTCACAGCGTCGTCGTCCACATCGTCAGAAATTATAAAAACTGCTTGTAACTGAAATAATATAATAGAATTTACTTTTATTCTTATCTAATCTAATTATTTATTATTTAGATCAAGTAAAATATCTTTTATTTTATCTAAATAATAAATAAAGTTGCAGTATTAGTGAAACTAGCAATAGCAAAACTAGTCCAATGAGTTTACAAAATTGTTTATAAACAGAAGTGATAATTATGTACTCCATCTTTGACAATGACGGCACGATAGAAATTTATAATCGAATTAACGACCGATGACGAGACGAATAGAGCCATGGCACTGATAATTTGCACTTCTATTTTATTCTACATTAACATATTATGAAATTGATCTAACAATAAATATTACTAATTTGAAATAAACTTTCGGCACAATAAATAAATTACAAATTATCGAAATTAAAATGATACGTACCCAATAAGTACGTGAATTACATAACATGTTAATGTTAAATAAAAAATATAAGTGCCATAGGTTCTATTCCGATCACCTGTTGCACTCTTTTTCCAGACGGTAAAAAAATCATCCAGTATATAATAGATAATAACGAGTTGGCAAGCAGCGAGAAGCAAGTGTGCAGTTCAAAGAGTATTGTCGCCGGACTACAAGCGAATGCACTCCGACCAATATAGAGTAAAATGACTGCTGTTTGACGTCTGAGCGTGAGTTCTAACCACCAAGTGAGCAAGTATTTTTTTATAGCATTGGGTGACAAACGAGCATACAGTCCACCTGATGGTAAGTGATGCTGTAGACCATAGACATCCACATTTATCCTCAATTAAGAATCAAAATACAAATGCGTTGTCAATCCTGAGGACTAAGATGGAATGCCTCGATTCCAGTAAAAGGGGTCTCCTGTTCTCTAGACTCACCTTACGAAAACCAATCGAATATTATCTTTCATAGCTATCCCTGTGTCAAACTAATGGATAGTGAGTTCTATCCATTTAACTATTAATATACGTATTTCTTTTATTAACACAGGATCTGTACCTATTGTTCGTTTCTTGAGCGAGATTATTGTTGATAGCTAATCGCTTCCTCGTCGGCGATGCAAAATACTCAGGTCTAATAATGTTATATAACAATGTCATGTGTTACAATTATAAAATCATCTCATCAATGTTTTTATCTGATTGAAAACTGCTTATTTAAAAAAAAAGAAACATCATACCATTTCTATAGCCCAAGCTAGTTTAAAGGCTTCCTCCCATAGTTCATCACTAATTGGATCAGGTTTTTTGAGCGTTTCGTATGTGAACAATGTTAATAGACCTCGGAGTTGCTTACCGCCAATAATGTTATATTCTGAAATCTAAACAATGATAGTATTGATGATTTGTTATTTTTTTTATAGAAGAAGGGGCGGGGCGCACGAGCATGGGACTCACTTGATGGTAAGTGAATTGCAGTTGTTATTACATCACGTTAATTATTTTCAAAGCAAGCAAATATTACCCTCTTTATTCGGTCTTTTACTTCGGGAAGCCTCTCAAATCTTTTATGAGATAATGCATTGTCTATTAATGTTGGTAAATAATCTTGATAAGCAGTATAAATATTTTTCGACACCATATTTTGTTTAGTCAAAAGCGTTCGGTGAACAGGCGACCTGAAATATTAAAAAATTTACATCTCTAAAATGTTTTTGTTGAATAATGATATAATTTTCTATCATATAAAAATCTATATAAAAAATCATCCATTCATTCACTGGTTTTACAATCTAGTTTTGAGATTTTGAGGTATACCTGACGAGAAGATGTATCGTAATTTTCTACTACTTGTCGCAGTTAAACGTTCTCGTCAACAACTTCACGCTTAGTACGCCCAACAATAACCGGCATTGGTGTGACATGGACGTTACATATTATCTTTATTTGACCATGTTTATCTTAAGACCTATCCGTTGGGATGGATTATAGTGGTCATCGAGCATAGTACTTAGTTCGGTAGGTATATCGTCGGCAAATCGAACGTGAGTGATGAACTCCAATGCAGCGGTGTTTCGGTGATGTAACGTAACCCTATCTTACATCTCTGCGCAGTTGGATAGGTTTCGTATTCTGGTTCTGTACTCGGATAGCAATCGTAGACCTTCTGTACAAACACTAAATTACTTTGATATACGGTACAGTCAACTTGGCACTGTCGAAGGGACGGCAGCACCTTTCAAATTTCGACAGAATCAAAGGCTTTCTCATAGTCTACATACGCAAAACATAGTGGCAGATTGTACACTTTGGCGCACATAGCTGCGTTGCCGATAGCGGCAAATTTACAATTTGCCGCTATGGGCAACGCAGTTATGTGCGTAAGTTGTCTATGGTACTAAAGCCTTTTCGAAAACCGGCTTGTTCGGGAGGCTGGTAGTCGTCGAGTCTGCGTGCGAGACGATTCGTAATGACTCTCGAAAACAGAACGGAGACGCAGCTCAGAAAGGAAATCTATCTATAGTTCTTCAAAAGAGCGTTGGAGCATGTCTTGAAGAATAAATCCTCCATGCTTCTGCTCCACATCTTCGGAGTAGTCCCACTATGGAGGACGGAATTAAAGAGCTTCTAAAGGACTTCAAGTACTGGTTTTCCACCCGCTTTCAAAAGCTCCGCAGCAATTCCATCCTCGCCTGGGGCTGTGAGCCATTCTAATCTCACTCAGACTGACATCTAGGATATCATCGGAACAGTATCGGATAAGACTTGCTCATGAATCGTTACTTACACTAGTGTGTGACTTCAACTATGGCGTGTACAACTGCCCATAGAATTTCTCAATCTCACTCATATCTCATTTGTCCCGGAAACGATGCCTATACTCGGTCTTCAGCTTCGACAGTTGGCGCTTTTTGGCAGACAGATATCTGACAACGACTTTGGAGCTAAGAGTCAATACGAGCTGTATTGAAGTTACGTAACTCCCGCCTCATGTATTTGGAGATCTATCTGTTCAGTTGCCTGTGTGCTGTCAAATCTGCTGAAGACTGCAGCTTCATTTCCCTTTCTTTGTCTTTATTGTTTAGACTAGCTTTATCGTATATTCCTAATACCTCTTGTTGCTTGTAAACTTTTACAATTTAACCTTTATTATCTATATATTATACAATAGCATGCTCTTGATATAATAATAAGAGCAAAAAATATTCTACTTAAAAATTATAATACCGCGTTTACGTATTCGTTTAATAAGTAAGCTATTAAATATTAAATATTGTGACCTTGTTCCCCTGCGGACAGGTTTTATTTGCTAAAAATGCAACGATTGAGCGTAGTTGTATTTAGTTAAAACAATAAACCAGATAGAATCAAAACATGGAATCTCGCTATCGAGTATGTTCCTGAATGCGTTGAAAGACTTTGATTTTAGTTAAATACTTTCTTCGATAAATATATTAGTATAAATTTTAGTACGATAAGTTTATTTTATTGTCATACGTCATGACATAACCATCATAATCACCATCTTTATCATCATCATCATCATCAATGGGCTGTAGTGCTCATTACAATGCCACTACTGAACTAGGCTTCATCCAAGAAATGCACAAATGCACCAACGCATGCCAACTTTATTTTAATTATTTTGAAAACGTCTTGTTACCCTTATAATAATAGCTTTTAAATAAAAGCCAATTTTTCAAATATCATATCATAATAGTTATTCATAGGAAAAAATACAACCTAGATTAAAATTTACAGTTAGGTATATATATATATATATATATATATATATATATATATATATGAATTAAATAGTGCAAGTGTTTCACTTTTATATTAATTTAAGTTATAATTTATTTAATGAACAACTTTTATCTGAAAGTTGTAAAGTCAGCCACAATAAATCTAAAAAACCGCCATAAATAATTGAAGGCTGATTTTTGATTATTCGATGAAATATTTATATTTTTTTTTAATAATACATACAACTGTAATTCTTATACAAAAAATACGAAAACGTTTATATTTATAAATTTTTATTTTCTTTTCTTTCTTTTTTTTTGAAATTATGTTAAGTATTTACTTCAATAACCAGAAAATAATTGACCACATTCATTATGACCGTATAGTGGCGGCGAGAAAATTCGCTTCCCCATATCATCCTGTTCATCGTAAGTAGCGACAGAGGGATGCGAAGAATTGGGCAGCAGCACCTTTCTGATACCAATTCAAAGTAATTTTATTTATTGAAATCTGCGAATAACAATTCGCCTGCGTAACTACTATGGCAAATACTTCCCCTATTAGACGATCTATGGGGGAGGAGTATGTTTAGCAGTGGAGTTTAATAAGCTGTAATAAACAAAAACAATGATCCATCATCAATGGATGTCATGAAATGTTCTTTTATTTACCGTTATTTTTTAAACGTAAAAGATCATATTTCAACTTACCAGCTGTTAACATTTTTTGTCATTTTAAATAACGTAGTACGTGACATCATTTTTGATTTAAAACAGTATAGAATTATGAATATAGGAAAAGTTTGTTTATATTATACACTAAATACTTGAAATCGCTTCAACGACTATAAAGCAAAACTCTCTGCACGGTATGAGAGCAAGAACAACGATTTGCCTCTTCAGTTTGCCTCCCCACCATTAGACGTTTCTCTGATGGAGTGTAATGGCTCAGGTTTAATTTATGATAGTTATTTGTTTGGATAAGAGTATTTTTTGTTCTTTATGTTCTAAGAGTACTGCGCAGAAGTCGAAACATTAACGTTACGTATACCTATACCTGTACATGTATGCGTACATCTTACAATAACTAAATTAAATTAATTATCCACGTAATATGTTACTAAAATTAAAATTACTTTATGAAAAAAATATTACTGTGTTCTATTATTTTATTATTTACAAATTAAATATTTCTTTCACTCTAAATCTAAATCTAAAAAAAGGAACCAAGGTAATCTTGAATAGTCTAGTTCACATCCTATTATCATTTCGAATATTCTATTAAATGGTGTGGAGCTGGGGACTACGGCGTCAAATCCAGCTCGGAACAAGAATTTGTATGATGTAATGTTTGTTTAAGTATTTATATGCACAAACCGCTTCCGTTATACTGTAAAATTATTTAGTTTGTTTTAACATAATTTTTAAAGTTCGATTTAATTTTTAACTAACTCCAAAGTATGTTAGTTTAGGAGTTAGGTTTTCTGCAGGAATATACATTTAAATTCGTCTGTATAAATTTTAACCAGATCAAATGCGAAACATAAGTTCGTTTATGACAGATATATACTTTAATTGGACAATAATTACTTTTGGTCAATCGTAAATTTTTCACTAACTTCTATTACTTATATTATTATATATACATTATATAATAATATAAGTAATAGACTATATATAGTTAACAAATTATATTATAAATATATAAATATACATTATATACCCTTAACAAAGGACACAGTAATAACACAGTAGTGATTTTGTGTAACTTTTTCAACTGAACCTAAATGCTACAGATGGGATGGTAAGCGTCCCATTACTAGGCACATGCAATTTGTCCAGTTACCAGTAAAAATGGTCTCCAGTTCTCATCATCCACCACACGAAACACAGCAGTACTACTCCATATTACGCGATCAATCTGTAAGTTATACGTGTCCTGATAGCATAAATACGTGGGTGCAACAAGTGCACAATATCAAGGACTTACGTTTATTACATGTGAATATACGATCTTTAAAAAAACATTTTAATGAATTCCGGTAGTAATTTGAGCCAATTGGATATTATTGTGATATCTGAACCAAACATTAATTATTCTGTATTATCTTTCTACAAAATCCCTGGATTCAAAGTAAATATTTATACCCGACAAGGACGTAACGGCGGAGGTGTACTTGTCTATTCCCGGGCGAAGTTCACTGCGCATGTAAGCACAACGGCTGAGCTCGCGAGTAGTGTTATGCGCTCGGCGTAGTGCGTTTCCATTACACTCAACATTAATGGGGAGCATATTTATTTAATTTCTATTTATAGGTCGCCTCGTTTCCGACAGAACCAAGACAGAATTCGTGATTTTCTTGTTGAATTAAGAAATTTATTTAGCAAATTACCTAAGCACTCAAAAGCAATATTCTGTGGTGACATAAATATCGATCTTTTAAAATATCAGGATAACAATGTCAAATTGTATGAAAATATAATGGCGGAATATGGTTTTGCCAGGTGCATATGCGATGTAACACGAAGGGAAATAGTCATGGGTAACATTGTAGAATCGTGTTTGGACCATATTTATATAAGGGCACATTTGTCATTAGTTAAATCAGCTGTAATACAACATAAGATATCTGACCATTACTATGCGGCAGCGATACAATGGAAACGCGCTCCTTCCGTAAGTTATATCACCCACTCCGATAGTCGTACGCCTATGCGACCTGTCAATAGATGCGTTCGAATAATCGTTTAGTTAGAGAAAAATGACTATTAACAGATTTTGATCATTTGTTGAATATTGAGTGCCCAGGTTGAGTTGTACGAAGCTTTTTCTAGTATTTTTACTAATAATAGATATATAATGAATGTTACAAATCGCAAACGGTTGGGGTAAATAAAAGTGTTAGAAGTAAAATAAAGGATGGATAAGTGAAAATTTAAAAGGGATGATTTAAAAAAAGATAGGTTATTTGTTGTATGGTGCAATGAACCAAAAAATATGATAAAGAGATTAAATTATACTAAATATAGGAATAAATGTAGTAAGGCTATATAAATGTAAAATGAAATATGATAAAGTATATTAGACTGTAATAAAAATATAAAGAAATTATGGGATAAGATAAATAGTTTACTGGATAATGAAAAAAAATCACTAGACGACTTAATACTTTCTAATATGAGAAACCAAGGTAGTGTAAAAGAAATTTGTGATAAGTTTGCTGATAACTTTTTAAGTGAAGTCGACCTTTCCGTACATGTGTGCCTTAACATGTACGGAAAAATGGTTAGTGAGGGACAATTACGTGGATAGACCTAACGTATGTATGAGATGGCAACCGGTCTGTAGTGGAGAAGCAAGACTTGTTTTGTTAATCAATTAGATAAAAATAAATCGCCGGGAACTGATCTCGTACGGATGTCAGACTTAAAGTTAGTTGTTGACAAAATAAGTCCTGTCATAGCTAATATAGTTAACTTGTCGGTAAAGTACCATAGATATCCAAATAAATTAAAAGGAGTTATAATTCGTCCAGTCCATAAAAAAAGTGATCGTAAAAAAATTTCAAACTATAGACCAATTGCTATATTATCTAGTATTGATAAAATTATTGAGAAATGTATAACAAATCAACTTGGATTTTAATTTACAAAAAAAAATAACATATTAAATGAACGTCAACACGGTTTTCAAAGGGGAAAAAGTACGAATACATTATTATCAAAATTTACTGACGAAATTAACTCATATTTAGGAGATAAAAAATTTGTCGTTGCTATTTTTTACGATTTCAAAAAAGCATTTGATACCTTAGAAACAGAAACACTCTTAAATGGAATGGAAAAATGTGGCGTGGGACAACCGTTAAACTAGTGGTTCCGTGACAATCTTGCATCACGCATTTTCCGTGTAAAGGTTGGTGACACGTTCAGTGAGGCGACTGAGGTGTGGTGCGGGGTGCCACAAGGCTCGGGATATGGGCCTATTTGCTATTTACTGCATGTTAATAGCTTATGTGACGTACTACAGCATAGCTCTGCATACATGTTCGCAGATGACCTATGTACATTACGTGCTGGCACTTATCTCATGGAGTCACCTATTACAGCAAGAAATAGACTCAGTAGTTAAATGGTCCCATGATAATGGTATCGTTTTAAACTCAGATAAAACCAAGTATCTTATCATTCAGTCGCCTTATCTACGTCCTACTGACTCGTCTCCTCAAATGTATACTCATAACTTTGAGTGCCTCCATAATGGTCTAAATAATTGTCGATGTGAGCCTATTGAAAAAGTCGAAGTGTGTAACCTACCTCGGTGTTAAAGTTGATACTAACTTCTCGTGGTCCAGCCATGTAGATTATATATGTAATAAGTTAAGATTACTTCTAAGCAAATTTTATCACTTAAGTTTTAAAGTTCCTTCTGCTACATTAAAATGCTTATATTTTATATTGACAGTTATGGTCTTACATTTAAAACCTACATTGATAAGCTTGCAGCAATACAAATTAGATTTTTAAAGTTACTTGTTAATAAAAAAACTAAAACTATTTGTAGAGGCGATTACACAAAACTATTTAAAATCTGCAAAATACTCCCAGTTAGTTTAAAACATAAATATTTACTTGCTATAAACAATTATAATTGTCGAGACCGTACTCTAACATTGGTCAAGCACGGTCAGGGTACACGGTCGATGTCTGCAGGCAAATTTGTTGTACCAAAAGTAAATAACTACTTCGGGAATAGAACTTTAAAAAAACGACTACCGTACTATTTCAATAGTTTGCCTCAGGACATTCGACGTGAACCAGTAAAAAACTCTCAAGTCTCAGTGCTTAGCATTAATATTATATTATATCATGTAAATGAGACTCAAATGTTCCTGCAGACAAACTGTGTAAGCAGTTTTGTGGGAATATGTATATTATTAATAAATAAATTAAAAAAAAATTATGCTGCTATTTCACGCTGGTAGTAGCTCACGGCAAGCTGATTTATTTATTGAAAATTTGTGGTTATAAACGTGATTACTGATCATGAGGTCCTGAGTTCGAATCCTGGGTTCGGCCAAAAAAAATTGATACTGAGTTTTTCTGTCAAGAAATTCTCAGTAGTAGCCCAGGGTCAGGAAGTACTCAGTGTTTCAGCCCCTTGTCTCGAAAAGCAGGTAATGCCGTTAGTCCTGCGTCTAATCTCTCTCCGGTCGTGGCGAATTACCCTTCCATCGGACTATGAGAGTGAGCGTAAAGAGAATGCATCTACATTATAGCATACACGTGTGCTAGTCTTGTGCCTGCTCGGTCTACTAGTTCATTTCGAACAGTGAACTAGTTCGTTCGTCTCAGTCTTATATTCGGTCATCAGTACCATTAACCTGTTTAAATTGTATCTATCTGTATGGAATTGCTATCTCAGTCAGTCACTGACTGAATCAGAGAGGCATTCATTGGCTCTTGTCTACGCTAGCACTTCTTATTACGAGTGCAGTTTGTGCTCTTGTCGTTGATTGGCTACTGACCAATTCTCGAGTTACGTTAATGTTTGCTATTGGCGTCTTGCGAGTATAGGTGCACGAAAAGAGCTGTTAGACCGATTAACCATCAGTATTCGGAAACGTTTCTTCTATTACAGTGTTAAGATACGTTTCCTAATCGTTCATCGTTCGCGAACTACACAAAACTAACTTGTGCACTATAATCCAGTGCTGCGCAGATGACTAGTTTCCGTTGAGAATGGCTTCCGTTGATCGAA